TATGCGAATGAAAACTCACACCCCAGAAGTGACTCGAACCCATACTCCCAGAAGCAACGCAACTGGTAACTACAGGGCGCCTTAATCCGCTTGACCATCACGCCCGTCAAAAGGAAGTGATAGCCGAGGCTATTTGAGCCACTTCCCCGACGGCAACTCGGATGGTAATCTTGGGCATAGCATTTCACCAAATCACCTCATTCTTTGGGGCACACGTGAGGAACACAAATGCGAACAAGCCTGAATGGTCCCCAGGACTATATGCGAATGAAAACTCACACCCCAGAAGTGACTCGAACCCATACTCCCAGAAGCAACGCAACTGGTAACTACAGGGCGCCTTAATCCGCTTGACCATCATTCGCATATAGTCCTGGGGACCATTCAGGCTTGGTCGCATTTGTGTTCCTCACGTGTGCCCCAAAGAATGAGGTGATTTGGTGAAATGCTATGCCCAAGATTACCATCCGAGTTGCCGTCGGGGAAGTGGCTCAAATAGCCTCGGCTATCACTTCCTTTTGACGGCCGTGATGGTCAAGCGGATTAAGGCGCCCTGTATACCAGTTGCGTTGCTTCTGGGAGTATGGGTTCGAGTCACTTCTGGGGTGTGAGTTTTCATTCGCATATAGTCCTGGGGACCATTCAGGCTTGTTCGCATTTGTGTTCCTCACGTGTGCCCCAAAGAATGAGGTGATTTGGTGAAATGCTATGCCCAAGATTACCATCCGAGTTGCCGTCGGGGAAGTGGCTCAAATAGCCTCGGCTATCACTTCCTTTGACGGCCGTGATGGTCAAGCGGATTAAGGCGCCCTGTAGTTACCAGTTGCGTTGCTTCTGGGAGTATGGGTTCGAGTCACTTCTGGGGTGTGAGTTTTCATTGTTCGCATTTGTGTTCCTCACGTGTGCCCCAAGAAGAATGAGGTGATTTGGTGAAATATATATATATATATTAAGGCGCCCTGTAGTTACCAGTTGCGTTGCTTCTGGGATATATATATATATATATATATATATATATATAATATATATATATATATATATATATATATATATAAGCTTCACAATTCATGGTTATTATTGTTGTAAATATCTTTGTAGAGCTCCGGAGCTCATGACCGGTTGAATAAATATGAACTAAGACGCTATTATTTAAAAAAGATGTATAGGTTTCGTAAGTGGTTGCATAAATGCTTGATAGATCCGGGGCCCAAGACTAGCCCATTAAATGTTCTGGCCGTCCTCTCGTGTTGCCACAAGAGACAAAAATAAGGGCTACTAAAACACGCGAACCTCACCTAGGGACATGGCTGATCTAACCGACCCACGCGTAGACAACGCCGGTGTTTGCCAGCCGCCACTGGCGAGCTTGGCACACCCTTTCACACTCCCAAATCACTCCCAAAAATCTACCACTTTCCCGTGCCACCTCTTGGGTGGCTCAATCATCATCGATCAGCCAATCAGGCCACCATATGCAGGCGACGAGTCACAATAACGTGGCTAAAGTAAGTTGACCAAACCACACACTAGAAGGTGAAGGGACGACGACGTTTCCAGCCGCCACTTTTCATAGTGTTTTATGTCCGTTGGGGATACAAATTCCTCTATTTGAGAGGACACGTTGTTACTCAAATAAGTCTTAGGCGGCGAATGAGTGCCACGCCATGATGCCAAACTATGAACTTGATGGTCACAAAGTTGCAAATAACGAACTTGCAAGTCAGGCAATGAAATCAGTTCATATATATTCATAATGTGCTTGAATATTGCGTAAGACAGCGAGCTTATACTCAAGACGTTATGCACTGTGCTTGATGAATACAGATATCTTGGCCGTGATTTACGAAACCCTTAGGTTTGGCTGGTCTGCCTGTGGTGTACATGTACGTCTGTGACTGTACGTGTGACTACATCACTGACTGAGGGCGTGGGGAGTACATCTACGGCTGTCTACATGTAAGTACATCAATGGCAGTGTACTCGTGAATACATCAATGATTGTACGTATGAGTACATTAATGATAGTTCAGCCTAAAAAGCCTAACTTTGCACACACACACACACACACACACACACACACACACACAGGTTACCGTGTGGGTGTGACCAGGTCTCCCCTTTTTCGTGACCAGGTTACATAAAAGGGGAGGCTAGTATACAGAAAATGTACAGAAATCTGTGAGGAGCTCAGTGCCAACTTTCATGAAATGTTCACCACTGAGTCTGAACAGCTCCCGGAGCTCGATGAGAAGGGAGCAGTCCCTGAAGAGAAACTTCTAAATATTGAGATAACAGCGTAGGAAGTAGGAATCCAACTAGTATCACTGGATGTGGCTAAATCTACTGGCCTGATAGTAAAATGGTTGTTAAAAGAAGCAGCACCGGCCTTCAACATACCTCAAGCGCTAATCTTTAATGAGTCTGCAGGCGATGAGTCACAATAACGTGGCTGAAGTATGTTGACCAGACCACACACTAGAAGTTGAAGGGACGATGACGTTTCGGTCCGTCCTGGACCATTCTGAAGTCGATTGAGTCTCTTTAATTAAGTCTTTAATGAGTCTCTTACAAAGAGGGAATTGCCCAGCTGCTGGAAAAAGGCTAATGTGGTGCCAATTTACAAAAAAAAAGGAGATAGAGAAGAAGCACTTAACCTCAGACCAGTGTGACAAGCATCCCTTGAACAGATGGGTAGAGTTTCCTTAACTCTGATGCACCTGTTACCTAGCAGTAAATAGGCATCTGGGAGTTAGACAGCTGCTACGGGCTGCTTCCTGTGTGTGTGTGTGTGTGTGTGTGTGTGTGTGTGTGTGTGTGTGTGTGTGTGTGTGTGTGTGTGTGTGTGTGTGTGTGTGTGGAGGAATAAAATAAAATAAATTAGTAATTAGTAACAGTTGATTGATTGACAATTGAGAGGCGGGCCGAAAGAGCAGAGCTCAACCCCCGCAAGTACAGCTAGATGAATACAACTATGTGAATACACACACACACACACTCAAGGTGAGTACAACCAGGTGAGTACATTGAGAGGCCTCGCGGCTGAGTGGATAGCGCTCGAGAGTCGTAGTCCTGAGGTCCCTGAGTTCAATCTCCGGCGGAAGAGGAAACAAAGGGGCAGAGTTTCTTTCACCCTGATGTGCCTGTTCACCTTACAGTATATATGTACCTAGGAGTTTGACAGCTGCTACGGGTTTATTAGTAGATATAATAGAAGAAAAATAGATTGGTTAGAAAGTCGGGGTCCGTGAACTAAGTAACTCGATTCTGAAGACATAAATAGTAAATACACATAGCCGGACCTACCAGGCTGTAGTGGATATGTGGGCCTGAGTGCCGCTTCAAGCAACAGCCTGGTTGATACCTGGTTGATGGGGTTCTGGGAGTTCTTCTACTCCCCAAGCCCGGCCCGAGGCCAGGCTTGACTTGTGAGAGTTTGGTCCACTAGGCTGTTGCTTGGAGCGGTGATGGGCCAAGTTAAAACAAATCGAGTCTGGCCTCAGGCCGGGCTCGCGGAGTAGAAACACTCGCGAAACCCTCTCCAGGTATACTCCAGATAAGTTTCTCGTTAGGCGAAACAGTTGTGTTTTTTACGAAGTAGGAAATTGAGAGAACGGCCTGAAATTGGCTGCTTTCCAATTTGCTCGAACTCTATTTTCTTTTGCGACTCTGGAGGGGAAGGTTAGGTTAGGTAATTAGCGATTCTCCTGATTACTCGGATGCCCTCCAGCGCCTATCCCCACTCGGAAGGGATATGAGGACAGGAGATGGGATATGGGGACGAAGTGAAGGAACGGTGCCCAATGACTAGATCCATCAGGGATCGAACGCCGTCCCTGCAAGAAGCGCGGCCGTCACTCTACCGTCCGGTCCAAGTAGGGAAGGAAAGAATTGTTGTTGGGTTTTATAATGAAGGGCGACCTGGATGTATACGCCTCGCACGTCTTGGTCTTACAAGTGCAACTCTCATGCTTGTTCCCGCCCGCCCTAACCTATCCCCACCCCCCTCTCTCTCTCTATCTCTCTCTCTCTCTTCTCTCTCTCTCTCTCTCTCTCTCTATCTCTCTCTCTCTCTCTCTCTATCCTCTCTCTCTCTCTCTCTCTCTCTCTCTCTCTCTCTCTCTGTTGTCTCTCTCTCTCTGTGTTCTCTCTCTCTTCTGTCTCTCTCTCTCTCTCTCTCCTCTCTCTCTCTCTCTCTCTCTCTCTCTCTTCTCTCTCTCTCTCTCTCTCTCTCTCTCTCTCTCCTCTCTCTGTCTCGTCTCTCTCTCTCTGTGTCTCGTCTCTCTCTCTGTCCTCTCTCTCTCTCTCTCTCTCCTCTCTCTCTCTCTCTCTCTCTCCTCTCTCTCTCTCTCTCCTCTCTCTCTTCTCTCTCTGTGTGTCTCTCTCTCTCTCTCTCTCTCTCTCTCTTCTCTCCTCTCTCTCTCTCTCTCTCTCTCTCTCTCACACACACACACACACACACACACACACACACACACACACACACACACACACACACACACACACTCACACACACACACAACACCGGCTCTAATACTCTTTATTTGTGCTCGAGACGGAATGTTACAATGTTACGTTACGAATGTTACGTAGTCACAATACTCGCCAAATTAACTCACCGCCAAAATTCATTCATTTGCGGCTAAGAAGGATCGCTAAAAAAAGAAGGCGAGGCAAATCCCAAGATAGATGTATCCTTTATTTGGACAGGCATATGAGCGATACACAAACAAAATAAATAATGTATTATTTATTTATTATTATTATTTTTTGCCAAAGATCTGATGCGCCTAAGATAAAGATTGTCAAAATATTTATTTTGAAGTCATTATGATTCTAGTGAATGGGACTTAGATTAAGAAGATCGGATTGGGGTTACGTCATGCTCATCTTGGTGCACCTGTGGCTTACAACAGTCTAACGTGAGGGGCTAAGCCAGCTGGCTGGTTGGTTGGCTGGCTTGCTGGCTGGCTGGCTGGCTCTATAGGTCACTAGCTGACTGGTTAGCTGGCTGAACCGTTGATGAGTGGGTGGTTTGCTGGTTCCGTTTGGCTGGTTGGCTCCGTGAAGGGTTTCCTGGCCAACTGGCTGGCTGCATGGGTGTGACTTGCTGGCTCCGTGGGTGGCTGGCACAGTGATTTACTAGCTCCGTGGGCGGCTGGCTCCATGGGCGGCTGGCTCCATGGGTGGCCGGCTCCATGGGTGGCCGGCTCCGTGAGCGGCTGGCTCCGTGGGCGGGCTGGCTCCATGGGCGGCTGGCTCCATGGGCGGCTGGCTCCATGGGCGGCTGGCTCCATGGGCGGCCGACTCCGTGGGCGACTGGATCCGTGGGCGGCTGGCTCCGTGGGCGGCTGGCTCCATGGGCGGCTGGCTCCATGGGCGGCTGGCTCCATGGGCGGCCGACTCCGTGGGCGACTGGCTCCGTGGGCGGCTGGCTCCATGGGTGGCTGGCTCCATGGGGGCTGGCTCCATGGGCGGCTGGCTCCATGGGCGGCTGGCTCCATGGGTGGCCGGCTCCATGGGTGGCCGGCTCCGTGGGCGGCTGGCTCCATGGGCGGCTGGCTCCATGGGCGGCTGGCTCCATGGGCGGCTGGCTCCGTGGGCGACTGGCTCCGTGGGCGGCTGGCTCCATGGGTGGCCGGCTCCGTGGGCGGCTGGTTGCGTACCATGATGATACAGGCGTCACTCGCCCGTACAAGGATAAAGACAAAGTTGGGTCAGTAATGTGGGCGTGGCCACCAAGACGACCCGCTCGAGACCTTACCATTCATTCTCCCGTAAGTCACCACCCGCGTCCACCAGCTTCCTCCCACTCTGACACCACCAGAGCCTATTCCTTTCCCTGAAGTGGAATGGCATAGATGAGAGAGCAACACCAAAAGCAGGAGGGATATCTTAGGAAGAGAGAGAGAAAGACAAGGGGACAGGAGGTGTTTGGGAACTGAAAGCCAGACAAGGGCGTAGGCGTAAACTAGTTTGTGGCTTAGAAAGGTATGATAGCTTGATTCGGTAACTGGAGGGAGTGGGAGAGAGAGAGGGAGGGAGGGAGGGAGGGAGGGAGAGAAGGAGGGAGAGGGAGGGAGAGAAGGAGGGAGAGGGAGGGAGGGAGAGGGAGGGAGGGGGAGAAGGAGGGAGAGGGAGGGAACAAGACAGTGAAAGATTGATTACAGACAGGATGAGAAACAGCAAGATGAGCCAGCTTACAACCAACTCCTTTCTAAGACCTTCTGGGTAGACCTCTGGACAGCCGTTGCTACTTTTTGTTGTGATAATTATTGTTGTTCCGCCTTGGGCTCAGTTTTTTATCTAATTTTTTTGTCAGTTTTCCTTTAGTTTATAATTTTTTGTGGGGGTTTTGGTCTTTTCCTTTTTTTCTTGTTAATCAGTGGTTTATTATTACATTTTCTTTATGACAATGGCCCATCATAGTCTCGTTAACACTTTGTTGTATATAATTTTCTTGACATAAACCCAAGATGTAAACTTTAAAGTTTTCCGTGATTTCTTACTTTGATTATCCCTAGACTTGGAAGGGATATATATATATAGTCACTTAAGAGGTGTACCCGCTTCTCAGGGTATATACACTGAGTTTACTTTAGTCCTGGACAATGTTCAGGACTGCAGTATACTTGCCGGCTGGTTGGTCAGTAAACTGTTGTGGTGACCTTAATAACCCTCCTTGTTGCAACTGTGTGGACCATCGTACATATATTGACCTAATGGGCAATTAGATGGTAAAACAAATCCACAAGGGCCGTGACGACGATTCGAACCTGCGTCCGAGAGCATCCCAGACGTTGCCTTAATCGACTGAGCTGCGACATGGTCAAAAGGAGTTGAATTAAGCTCAGTCGATTAAGGCAGCGTCTGGGATGCTCTCGGACGCAGGTTCGAATCCTCGTCACGGCCCTTGTGGATTTGTTCATTTGATGCATCACGCAATTGTGATTTCTGTGCGTAATTAGATGGTAGAATTTGATACTATTCACTTTACAGAGTCCGGAATAAACAAAGCTAAAAACCAAACCTAAATATACCTAGGCCTAGTATATATATTAGGCGTCTGCATGTATTAGGCCTAGGATGGTTAGGTTAGGCTAGGCTTTATTAGCAACGTAAATACATAGACGAGGAGTCACAATAATATATTGTGACTCCTTTCCGATCGACTTGAGAATGGCCCAGGACGGACCGAAACGTCGTCGTCCCTTCACTTTCTAGTGTGTGGTTTGATCAACATAAATACAAAACCTTTTTCGGTTTGTCCGAATTCAATAATATCAAATTCTACTTTCTAGTTGTCCATTACGTCAATATATGTTCGATGGTCCACCTCGTTATTATAAGTATTATCTAAACAGGAGGATGGGATGTAGCATTATTAATAATAATGATAATAATAATAATAATAATAATAATAATAATAATAATAATAATAATAATAATAATAAAACCTTAAGCTCAACACCAAACCATACTTAGACCAGCACTTGTTAAAAAGATTTCTTCCTATTATTGGGTATGGTTGTCCTTCCTCAAGACGCAACCCACAACAGATGACTAATTACCAGGTACGTATTTACTGCTAGGTAAACAGAGGCATCGGGTTTAAGGTTCCGTAAACCCGGGGTGGCGAATCTATGGCACACGTGCCCAGGGTGGCACGCATGCTGATTTTGCTGGTAAGCGGCAAGTGGTGCAGTCCCTTGATGCTTTAAACCCCAACCATAATAAATACATAAATATATAAATACTATCATTACTACCAAATGAAACAGGAATTGATTTTTCACAAATTAGGAGCAGTAAGAAATGTTCACATCTGTGTCATGCCGGCTTGGCGACAGGTGATCGGTCGGTTGCGAGAACATGTGACACGGGAAGCCATGTTCTGAACACGTCACAGACCCAGTGTACACATCAGTTTTGGTGTAATGATTGAAGTAAATGGTTGACATGGGATATTACTCTGCTTATATTTTTCTTCTATTGTTCGCGACTGAGCATTGGATATTTAGTGATACAAATAAATATGTAGTTTAGCGACTGCACGAATATTTATTTTACGATATATCAACAACAAAGACATGAAGTTAAATGTTTTCATGAATTTTGTTTTCAGGCAGTTGATGCTGGGTTTCAGATTTTATAGATGGAAAAAAAACCATTCAGTGATTGGGAGAACATTAAAGAATCATGGCCAGAATGTGTTCCAATCCTTCTTTAACGGTTTTACAGAAAAGGAAAAAATATTGAGTGCATTAAAGTACGCTGCAGCCAGTGAGCAGAAACAGTAAAAAATCGAATATTAAAGTTGGAAACAAACACAAAACAGAACAGCTAACAAAAGATATTGGTTCGTGTAAACTCCTTTCCATAAGTCTTGGAGAGAGCACTGATGGGACAGCATCAGCTCGGCTCGTCATTATTGCTAAATTTTGTAGTTAACAATTTTGTAGTCAACTGGTTAACTTGGTAACGTTACCAGAACATGCCACGGGGTTGAAATATACAAGGCAGTTGCAAAGGAATTGTCTAAACAACAGGTTGACCTTTCAGAGATAGTTCCTGGGACAAGTGAAGGCACACCCAGCATGATTGGTAAAGGAGAAGGTTTTGTAAATGTGTTGTAAAATATGTTGCACATCCATTAGTAGGATTTCATTGTATTGTAAACAAAGTGTTGCCTTGTGGACACAAACTGGCCTCAAGGAACTTGCAGAAGTGATGGAAAGTTTAACAGAGATACTTAATTATATTACTGCGCATTGCAAAGACAATTTCGTAATTTACCGAGCGTGGTGAATTTGATGTACACAGGACTACTTATGTACACCGATGTTCGTTGGCTCAGTAGAGGTTCTGTCCTTAAACCATCTGTTGAATGTTGGGATGAAATTCGGTCTGTTTTTGACGAATGAAAACATTTCTTGTCAAGAATTATCTGACGTGAGGATTTGAAAATGGCTGATTTTCACAGATTTCTCCACACATTTAAATGATTTGAGCACCAAATTACAGGGATCTGGCAAAACAATTGATCTTATGGTTGATAATATAGAAGCCTTGGAAATCGAACTCAAAATTTTTAAACGTGTTATCAACAAATTTACTTTTAAATATTTCCTGAACCTAAAAAAAAAAAACGCATGACAGATTTTGAAATTCATGAGAAAACAGACGTTCAAAGCTTTTAAATTAAATTTTCGAACATCATTCACTGCTGACAAATTTTCTCGTAATATTTACTAAACTTAGTTCATTGGAAAAAACTTCAAAACTTCAGTGTGTATTAGACAATTATTCAGTGTAACATTAGACAAACTGAATTTAGAAATGTTGCAGCGGATTGATATGAATAATTTTGAGATACAATTGATTCATTTTCAAAGCACCTTCAAATTTGCTGCTTTGCCTCCGAAATTTCAAATTTGGAGGCAAACATATGTAAACCTAAGAACTGGACAAAAAGATATTGAACCAAATGAATGAAAGCTTATAATTTCACGTTCACATTTCTTGTTGTTTATAAGGTACAATGCTATTTATAAATTGTTATTTGTAGCCTGTATGTGTTTACTCTCCTAGCCTGTGTGTGTGTACTCTCCTAGCCTGTGTGTGTGTGTACTCACCAAGCCTGTGTGTGTACTCTCCTAGCCTGTGTGTGTGTACTCTCCTAGCCTGTGTGTGTGTACTCTCCTAGCCTGTGTGTGTGTGTACTCACCAAGCCTGTGTGTGTACTCTCCTAGCCTGTGTGTGTGTACTCTCCTAGCCTGTGTGTGTGTGTACTCACCAAGCCTGTGTGTGTACTCTCCTAGCCTGTGTGTGTGTACTCTCCTAGCCTGTGTGTGTGTGTACTCACCAAGCCTGTGTGTGTACTCTCCTAGCCTGTGTGTGTGTGTACTCTCCTAGCCTGTGTGTGTGTGTACTCACCAAGCCTGTGTGTGTACTCTCCTAGCCTGTGTGTGTGTACTCTCCTAGCCTGTGTGTGTGTGTACTCACCAAGCCTGTGTGTGTACTCTCCTAGCCTGTATGTGTGTACTCTCCTAGCCTGTGTGTGTGTGTACTCACCAAGCCTGTGTGTGTGTACTCTCCTAGCCTGTGTGTGTGTACTCTCCTAGCCTGTGTGTGTGTGTACTCGCCAAGCCTGTGTGTGTGTACTCTCCTAGCCTGTATGTGTGTACTCTCCTAGCCTGTGTGTGTGTGTACTCACCAAGCCTGTGTGTGTGTACTCTCCTAGCCTGTATGTGTGTACTCTCCTAGCCTGTGTGTGTGTGTACTCACCAAGCCTGTGTGTGTACTCTCCTAGCCTGTATGTGTGTACTCTCCTAGCCTGTGTGTGTGTGTACTCACCAAGCCTGTGTGTGTGTACTCTCCTAGCCTGTATGTGTGTACTCTCCTAGCCTGTGTGTGTGTGTACTCACCAAGCCTGTGTGTGTGTACTCTCCTAGCCTGTATGTGTGTACTCTCCTAGCCTGTGTGTGTGTGTGTACTCTCCTAGCCTGTGTGTGTACTCTCCTAGCCTGTGTGTGTGTACTCTCCTAGCCTGTATGTGTGTACTCTCCTAGCCTGTATGTGTGTACTCTCCTAGCCTGTGTGTGTACTCTCCTAGCCTGTGTGTGTTTACTCTCCTAGCCTGTGTGTGTGTACTCTCATAGCCTGTATG